CTTCAGGTTACATACGCTTCATGTTACAGACTCCGCTAACCCAGAAATAGTGCTTCAGGTTAAGAACTTTGCTTCGGTACAAGAACAGAAATCGTGCTCCGGCGGCACGGCGGCAGCAGGAGGCCCCATTAGCGAAAGTGGTGCTTCAGGTTAAGAACAGTTTCAGGTTAAGGACGGACCTCCGGTATGAATTAAGTACTTAACCTGAGGTACCACTGTACTCTAAGATTAATTGTGAGTAGGAAAATGTAATATTTCCAAAGAAGAAAAGAGTGGGTACAACTCATATTAGACACTATATTAATTGTTCCTGCACACGTAACTGAGTAACACATAACAGAAAACTGTTTTCCACTGAGATACCCCTCTGCTATGCATCAGGGCTGTTTATCAATGCTGCCCCAGAAGAGCCACCATCGCCACGAACATATTCAGGCTAATTCAATTGTGGAAAGAGAGACGGTGCTACGCTAATGGCATTTTGAATATACTATGGAAACATAATACGAGGTCTGGAGCCCTGCACTGCACATACATGGCTTTCCTTCTTTTCTCCACCGAATATGCCAGATATACAGTTGGGCTGTACTTTATAAAACCCAAACATCATGACTCCAACCTATTGGCTGCCTATAGGGAGCTAGCTATTAAAAATTTCATTGGTATGGCTGCAGTCCATTAGCTAACTTACCTTCATACCCATAAAAAGTGAAGGGTAAACCCAGGATTTTTACAACCACTATCTGGAAAAGGTAATAGCAGGGCTACAGTCACATTACATTTATTATACACCATGACTCTAACAACTGCTCTGGGATCAGGCCACAGAGCAACAGTGCACCGTGACAGATGCCGTTTTCTCTCGGTGATTTAAAAGGTCTAGCTTTTATTTAACTTAATTTAAAAATGAAGTCAAAGCTTTGGCTTTGCAGTAAGGGAAACACACAGGCTGAGATGATTTCAGGTCAGGCAACTAGACTAACTAGGCCACAAATTAAGAACTTAATACCCATCATCCAATTCAGCAAACTCGAGAATATGCTTTCACATAATACCCTTTTGGATGAGCAAGCACTGCGTTAAGCGCAGTTAAGTACTCAGAAAGTGACAAACGGATTACCGTCTTCACACTGACCCAAATTGCGTCGGATGGGGTTGTCATAAGAATTGGAAGATTAAAGTTCCTGCTTTGCTAAGTAGAAACACAACATGCATTTTACATGGTTGTCACAGCGTGATTTGTATAATGGGGTTTCGAGGTGGGGGGACGACAACATACCACACATTCAGCTTTACAAAAGCTACAAAAACTTTTAGCAAGGAAGCAAAATCTATTTCAAAGCAGAGTCCAGAGCCTGTAACTCCACTCATTTGTAAGGCTCTAGAAACTTGATGGGACGTGGGTGGCGCTGTGGGTTAAACCACAGAGCCTAGGACTTGCCGATCAGAAGGTCGGCGGTTTGAATCCCTGCGACAGGGTGTGCTCCCGTTTCTCGGTCCCTGCTCCTGCCAACCTAGCAGTTCGAAAGCACATCAAAGTGCAAGTAGATAAATAGGTACCGCTCCGGCGGGAAGGTAAACGGCGTTTCCGTGCCCTGCTCTGGTTCGCCAGAAGCGGCTTAGTCATGCTGGCCACATGACCCGGAAGCTGTACGCCGGCTCCCTCGACCAATAAAGCGAGATGAGCGCCGCAACCCCAGAGTCGGTCACGACTGGACCTAATGGTCAGGGGTCCCTTTACCTTTACCTTAGAAACTTGATAAGCTGGGGCTGCCATATTTCAAAAAGTGATTTTTGTGTGTGCCAAAGTCGTTGAGCACAGTACCAGGAAACACTTCTAACTGTCTGGGTTACTCTAAAGGCTTGAGCCCCTTCTCTCTGTGCATTTTCAAAGTCCTCATGTTTGCTTTTATCAGTGGTTGGAGCCATCTGAAGTACCACGTTGCCCTTTTGTACTTAACACCCTTTTACAACCGGAACTCAGTTCTGGCACCTCTCAGATGGGCACCATTGCCATTCTAAGAGGGAGGCATTCATAGTGAGTTCCGGCACCTCATCTTCTAGAAAAACAGCGCTGCTGACATGTACGGCAAACATTTGCTGTATAAAATGTGGATCACAGCTGACCATTCAGAAAGAATAAATCATGCCAAAGGCTTAAGGAGTGCAAGTGAGCAGAGTTATAAGCAGATATCGGGAGACAAAAATTTGATCGGCTCACAAATAAAGCTGGAGAGAAGTGAATCAACTAAATGCGCAGGATGCAGAAGAAGCAGAGAGTTCGTAAAACAAAACCCAGAGAGCATCTGTGCAGTAATCTCCAGTACTTTCTCTACACTCTGGGTCACCAGATGAAACCTAGCACCATGCTCCAAGTGGGAGAACACTGTCTTATGGTCATGCTCATGGCCATGCGCAGATTGTCTACAATACAGTGCCCCACAGAAAGGCAGAGAATCAGCTCAATGCTTCGCAGTGGGAGGAAATGAAATGCTTCACCCAGAAAGCAGAATAACGGCGAGATTTAGAAACACAAACTCCATGTCTGAAATGCTGAGCGTTTTATACAGCAAGCATCCCGAGATGACCATTCGCATAGAACAGACATGATCAACCGGTCGACCGCGATCAACAGGCAGATCCCCGGGTGATCCTGGTAGATCGCGGTGGATCGCAGGATCCTTATCGATCTTTTTTGGGTGGGACAGGGAAGGAATGTTTTCCACTCACCCCTCTCTATGTTGCGTCATGTGTGCAGTCGTTTGGCACTTGCTGAAGTTGATTGTGGATACGATGATTGTCTATTTCGGTGTATGTGTGTGTTTGATGTTGATTTTCCAGTTAGCGATGTATGGCACTTCCCCTTTATAAAAGTTCAACAACTCTGGTCCACGGGCGTACGAAGTGGGGGGCGGAGGGGTGAGCTGACCTGGGGTGCCACTCAGGGGGGTGACAAGATGGCCCCTGCCTCCCCCCAGCTGTAGGGCAGCCAAGGGCACATGCAGTCCATATGGGCGCCGCTCACATGGTGTCCGTACGGGGATGCGCCATCCATACGAGCGTCTGTACGGACTGCCCTCTCACACGGCAACCGTATGGGCTGCCGCGCATGCACACACCATATGGGACGCTGCACACATGCAGTGCATATGGGATACCGCACATGCACACTCCATATGGGCTGCCGCACACACACACTCTGTGCGGGTTGCCGCTCACGCGGCAGCCCATATGGTCACTGTGCAAGTGGCAGCCCATACAGCTGCCGCGCGAGAGCAGCAGCCCATACGGACTGCGCATGTGCGGCATCCCATATGGAGTGCGCATGCGCGGCATCCCGTACAGTTGCTGCTCATGCGCACTCCGTATGGGCTGCCCCGCCCCTCGGCATCCCACCCTGGGTGCTGGAGAGGGTTCCTCTGCCACTGCTCTGGTCTCTCCTCCCCCCAAAAGCGAAAAGCTCAACAACTTTGGTCAGTCCTCCCCCCAAAAAAAGCTCAACAACCTCTCCTTCCACACACCCCACGTTTCTCCTCCCTCCAATGACAATGGGTAGATCACTGCCAGTTTTTTTTATACTGGGAGTAGACCGCAGTCTCTTGGGAGTTGGACGTGCCTGACATAGCAGACCTACTGAGAATTAGGGTAACCAATTCCCCCCCCCTCACCTACTGTAACGTCACTGGGTTCTGCTCAAGAGGGTCCCTAACTCTGTGTGTGCGTGCATTTCAGGCTTGCAGAATGGTTGGTGTTACAAAAGGGACACTTCGGATCCTAGCCTTTCTGCATGGAAGTGCAACTGTATAGAACATCGTTGGTAATGTTCTTCCAGGATGAAGGGCACACTGATAAAAGGAAGGAACTTAGTGGGAAACATGTAGCCTGAAGACCTGTGTGAAACCAACTCCTTAAGGACACTTCCTATGCAACCTTTTCCAAGATGCGAAAAACATCCATCATCTTTGGCAGACGCCGCCTTTTCCTTTCATGTCAAATTAGAGAATGCACATTCCTCTCTGAGCTTCCCTGTGCCCTTAGATCTTATAGTAGCGCTTAGCTATGATCCCCTTCTCTTTCTACTGATATATGACACATTATTTTCCATGATGGCAACAAATCCACTGAACACCATCTCAAGAGAAGAGCACAAAAGCTCCGGTCTTACAGACATTTAGACATTTATTATTATTATTATTATTTTGCCAAGCCATATTTGGCTAAATGTAGTTTATCCTATACAGTGGTACCTCAGGTTACATACGCTTCAGGTTACAGACGCTTCAGGTTACAGACTCTTCTAACCCAGAAATAGTACCTCAGGTTAAGAACTTTGCTTCAGGATGAGAACAGAAATCGGGCTTCGGCAGCATGGCAGCAGCAGGAGGCCCCATTAGCTAAAGTGGTGCTTCAGGTTAAGAACAGTTTCAGGTTAAGAACGGACCTCTGGAACAAATTAAGTACTTAACCTGAGGTACCACTGTATAGTTAAACAGCTTTGTTTGTTGTGACTTGGCTTTTTTTTCTAAAAAAATAAAGTTAGGAAACAAACTTTATCGAAAGAATTAAGAGGCCTGTGTTGCAAACGCGCATTCCTGGTTCCGAGTTTAATTGCTGAATAAAGGAAACTAGCAATCAAAGTGGCCTTTTGTCAATAGCAAACGTGGTTCAATGTGGTTCAGTGGATATTGTGCTTGGCTTGTAGAAGAAAGACTATCAGTTACAATCTGTCTGGGGAAAGCTCTCCTTTCCTGAATGCAAAATGATTCCAGGTTTAATCCCTGTCATCTAGATAAACGTCAGGCAATACTTCCATTAGAAGTTAAGTGCAGAGAACACAGAGCCTGAAGGACCAAGCACCTGAATATTTTCCTAACTTGAGTCGGCGGTAATAAAGAAATAAATATCCATCTAGCATAATATTAATTGAGTCGGCGGTAATGAAGAAATAAATATCCATCTAGCATAATATGAATTGATGGAGAGAGAAAAACGTATTTTACCTCAACATGGCACCCAAACCTTTCTTCTTTGTTTTTCTTTCTGGATCTTCATTGTCTTCCTTCTTGTCCTTTTCTTTCGCTTTAGATTTGAGCTTCAGATTTGCTTTTTTATTCTTATCTTTCATTTTTTCTTTTGCCTTCTTGTGTTTCTTCGCCTTGGCTTCCACATCCTCTAACTCAACCTTCATGTGAAGGGCTGATTCAAAGTTATGAGCTTCCTGATCCGAGAGAGAGCTTTTATCAGACGGACCATCTGCAGGAGGAGAAGGATAATCAATAAGTACAAACAAGAGGTGTTTATGATGAACACATGGAAATTGCAGGGTAGTTGTCCATGTGCGGTGTCCTATAATATACGTTCACCGAATAAAAAGGGCTATCAAACATAGCCCGTTAATTTCAGACAGACTTTGTTGCAAATTAAGAAAAGACTCATTATGGGTACTTATTTCCTAGTTATTCCATTTGATAACAGGTAGAAAGGAAAACTCTCTGTTGGTATGCATTCTAGGCTTGTTGACCCTTCCCAGTTTTAAAAATACAGTTGTACCTTGGTTTTTGAACAGCCTAGTTTTGGCTCCCGAACGATCGAAGTGACTGTTCCGGTTTTCGAACATTCTTTTGGAAGCCGAACATCCGACGGGGCTTCTGCGACTTCTGATTGGCTACAGGAGCTTCCTGCAGCCAATCAGAAGCCACGCTTTGGTTTTCAAATGCTTTGGAAGTCGAACGGACTTCCGGAATGGATTCCGTTCGATTTCCAAGGTACGACTGTACAGATATACTCCATTTTGGAACACCCACAGTCACGGATTATTTCAGTGACGGAGAGCATAACTAAACTTCAATATTTATGAGTCCACATTTTGTGTATGCAACCGGACCAAGTTATTTGGCAGCTTTCCAAAACTCCTGGTTGGGTATTGCAACATACGGTTTTTTGTCTGGTGGGCTGCGCCTCGCAGCTATGTGGTCTAAGGCAGAAAGCGCCCCCCACCCCTTACTTATGTCTGTCCCATTCCCCACAGATGAAGAAAGGGAACAAAGGAAAACAAAGAGAGATACATAAAAATCAAAAGTACCGTATTTTTCACTCTATAAGATGCACCAGACCACAAGACACACCTAATTTTTGGAGGAGGCAAACAAGAAAAAGAATATTCTGAATCTCAGAAGCCAGAACAACAAGAGGGATTGCTGCACAACAATCCCTCTTGCTGTTCTGGCATCTGGGATAGCTGCGCAGCCTGCATTCGCTCCATAAGATGCACACACATTTCCCCTTACTTTTTAGGAGGGAAAAAGTGAGTCTTATAGAGCAAAAAATACGGTAAATGGGAACATGGGTGGTGTCCAAGGGGAAATGGAGGGGACATGTATGTAAACGCCGTGGAAAGCCATCCATTCAGGTTGTGTAAGCTGCTTGGGACATAATGAGCTGCCTTGGTCAGCTGAGGCTGAGGCAACAGACACCCCTTAAATTACAGCCATGGCTTCAAGAGATGCTGTTTATTTATGAGGGTTCCTCACCATATGGTCCAGGGAGGACCAAAGCAATGGAACCCTGTGGAGGCCAGTCTACTAGGACAGGTGGGGCACTGCCCATCCTAAACCCTCAAAGGATGCTTAGGATCACAGCCTCCAGGAACCTCCAGAGTAACATCTGTAGACTCCCTATGCATTGATAGTCACTTGCAAACCTGTCCTAACCCTTGCACTTCACTACTCTCACGGGTGGAATCTACTTTCCCTACAGAGGAAAGGACAACTCAATTTCACAGGCCTATGAAACTGACTGTACTAAACCGGGCAAAGTCTCCAAAGAATGGAGAAGGGAAGGGAAGATGGAGAGAGAGAAGGTGATGACCTCCCTGTGGACCTTCTTCCCAGGAAAGGCGCCAGAAGGGGGTGTCCTGGCCTGCATCTTCACCAGGCCACCGTCCTCCCACACCAATAGCATGATATGATGGTCTCTGCTGAGGAATTGCCCCCCTCCCCAATTCCACACAGAGGCAGGAACGGCAAGGAACCATCCACCAGCGCTGGCCATGTCACAGCATTTGAATAGCTCTTGGTGGCTGCTGATTGGCTGCAAGTCAGTAGCAAGTTCCTCCCTCTCATGCGCACATTCTGTTCCATGTTCTGCCTCTGCTTTAGCCTATGCCATAGTTCACTCTGAAGAAATGAGATGAAATCCTGTTGCTGGTGAGCAGTAGAGAGAATCGAGTGCTGGCTGGAGGAGCATTACTTGTTGCAGACAAGTTGCAGAATCACCCTTGGGGTGATTCTGTGGCTCCCAGGAGTCCGGGGCCCACAGGTTGGAAACCACCGACCTAAATGATCTTTTCCACGATCTTGTCAGCTTAGTCAGGACCCACAAGAATGTACACTGGATTTAGGCCTTCGTTCAAAGCTCTTAAGCATTTCAGCTCCAAATTGGGAGGAAACAGACACTGAAATGGAAACTTTCTGAAGCAGAAAATAGAAGCAAAGAATACCTTCTGCCATATCTTCAGGTCCATCATAAGATTTGTCAATAGCAGCTCGAAAACTCTCATTGCATCCTCTGCCACGAACCATGTGAGGCCTGGGCCTATAGAATGGAAGCTCATTCTTTTTCACTTCAGCAACAGCAGTCTGAAGACTCTCTAGTGAGCTTGACTTCTTTAAACCCAGGGTGGGACCAATATCCTTTCCAGAAGACGCTGAAGAAAGAGAGCGAGAAATATTTGACTACTTGGTACACTTTTTAAACCTTAGATTCTCCAGCTGCGCAACTGGAAGTCACTTCTTGTTCTCTAAACTAACCTGGGCTTTTAAATCAAATACATTAGGTTTGTAACAAGAACATATGTAATTCAAACACAGTACTAGTATTCTGAGCCCTCAAGAGAATCAATCCAAAGGAGTAGGGGATAAAAGGAGCTATTTTGCTAAGATGAATGAATACGGATTTTGCAAAGGAAGTCACTCTCCTGTTATAATCACAGAAATCCTAACTCCACCAGCCCATTACACTGAGATTTGTTAGCAAATCCCCTTTTACTGCTCAGATTTTCCCTTTAAGAAAAAGTTCGCATTAATTCCTTTCTGTTAGATAGTTTACACCCTCCACTTTCGGCACAGAGGCACTTCAGTCATCAAGCAACTTGGCATCCCCATATCCAGAAGCCTCAGTGTTGGCTTGTTTGAGCCACCGAGGGAACTGCCGTGTCTCTCAAGACTAGAGCCCCCCGGAAGAGTGGGAGAGAGAGAGAAGATTAAATAGACTGGATGGAATCACAGGACAAGTTGCTAGATGAAAAGACCTATGTAAGAGAAGCTTCGGAGCAGGTCTGCACAACATTAACTCAGGGAAGGTATATGAGCAAAGTGATGGGGAATTCTCAAAAGGTGCCTTTAAAGCAGTTTATTATTGAGCCCCATCATGTTTCAAGTCCTCTTCGTCAAGGTGGGCCAAGTTCCTTGAGCCAGCTAAAGCATCTCTGCCTGCTGACAGTGAAAGCAGGGGTGGGGAGCCGATAGCCCACAAAGCCCTGCCAGACATGGCCCAAATTGGTGGTGGTGGTGGTGACCCCCCAAAAGAAGCACGCAGAGGCAATTTTCATTCCCACTGCATCCATTTTCATGCTTAGGAGTTTAACCTCTCTACCCAGCCCAGCACTCAGTGGCGTGGGATGTGGGGCACAGGGGCGGTTTCCCCTGGTGCAAAATTTGTTAGGGGTGCAAAATTTCAACACTCAATGCTGCCTCAGTACAGCTGCATGCTTCCACCACTGGCCTCCGATGATAACGGCTTCTCCATGCAAACCAGGAAAGCCATTTCCGAACTTGCGAGGAGAGGGGGTTGTGGGCTGCCCCCTCCCACACACGCGGGGGCTGGCCTTTTGCCCCCGCGAGAACAGGGAATACCCGGGCATGCCTGCGACCCTGCCCGCCAATCAGCGGGCTGGGGAGGCGTGGCCTAGCCCATTTAAGGCCAGGCACGCCCGGGGACCGCCCTCTTTTCCCCGTTCCAGCTGACCGGTTTTCCCATCCCACCCACCCTTTAGGCTTAGCTAGGTATGACCTTGCTATGGACTCCGGTTGGTCGCCGCAAGGGGCCTGGTAGGAATTTTTCCAACTTGGCGCACTTCCAGCCTTTTGGTTTTTTCGCCTACCTCGTAGCAAACGTCACAACTTCCTCAGTATTGGTGGTTAGGCATTGCAGGGGTAATTGTTATGCAAATGAAGGGGGGAAGGAAGCGCCATCACCTTCCCCCAATGAAAAGGGTAGTCCAGTAGAGGACTCCGGGGGGCGTTGCCTTGTCCGAAACCTAGGGAGGTAAGGGCCTCCGGCACGCGCCTGAGCGGTGACACCCGTGGGATCCTAGTTGGCGTACTTCAACAGGACTCCCATGGCTTGTGGATGACCCTTCCCGGTCCCCATGCCGGGTAGTCAATAGGAGCCAATGCCTAAGGCCAATACCTTTCAATCCTGTAATCAATAAAGTTGTGGCCTTTTTATGCCCATTAACCTTAAATAATGTGTTCGGTGTCTTCATTTCACATGGGGGAGGGGAATTGCCACGCAAGTGACCTCTCCAGACAATGGAACAACTTTTCTTATCTCTGCGGCTGCAATCGCCTGGGTGACGCGGACACTGTTAGGCAGTTGAATGCACATGCGTACTCAGTCCGTTTCCCACCCTCCGTGTGGCCCCGGGCACTGACAACCCATGTTATGCCACTGCCAACGCTACAATGGGAACGAAAACCACCCTCTAACCTTCAGATCATGACTTGAAACAAGTGTTCTTTTGTCTGTACCTCTGTACTGGCTGCTAACAAAAAAAAAAAAAAAATTCTGGGAATGTATAATTATTTCTCAAGAGTAATGTTTTCTTTTTAGCATATGGATGAAAATTAGCAAACCTGTGAATCCTTGCAAAGTTTTTAATAACTCAGCTCTAAGCTATGCCTGCCAAACATGGCACTACGCTATCAAATTATCAGCATGGTCTCCATGAATTAAACATAAATATTTCTAGCAAGATACTGATTAATACGCATTTCATTGCACTTCATGAGACAGCATTTTTTAAAAAATAAATTAATAAAGAGGAGCAGTAGGCATTCTTTTTTCCCTGCCAGTCCCTTCCTTTTGCACAAGAGCTGCATAGCCCACAGTGGAACTACAGCAGGAACCCATTTTGTAGGAATTTCTTGCTTCTGTAGTGGTTGTTCATGAGTGGTGATTTGCCGAGAACACTTTCACACAAAGTGGATTGCTTTGATTGCTCATCCAGACAACTTCATAATTATTGACATATTCTCAGGCCACAGAAATTCCTACTATTTTCTGAAGAATAGGGATGAAGAGTAGATGCCTTTAGAACTACTTTTCCACCCTTCTTCAAGGGCAGATGAACAAAACACAGCTTAACACTCACTTACTATAACCACTTGTAGTGGTCACTATTTTAGCACAATATTTGCATTTTTAAATTAACCTTTTAATATATATATATATATTCCCAAGCCAGAATTAAGATTGCTGGAAGAAATATCAACAACCTCAGATATGCAGATGACACAACCTTGATGGCAGAAAGTGAGGAGGAATTAAAGAACCTTTTAATGAGGGTGAAAGAGGAGAACGCAAAATATGGTCTGAAGCTCAACATCAAAAAAACAAAGATCATGGCCACTGGGCCCATCACCTCCTGGCAAATAGAAGGGGAAGAAATAGAGGCAGTGAGAGATTTTACTTTCTTGGGCTCCATGATCACTGCAAATGGTGACAGCAGTCATGAAATTAAAAGACGCCTGCTTCTTGGAAGAAAAGCAATGACAAACCTAGACAGCATCTTAAAAAGCAGAGACATCACCTTGCAAAGAAGAAGAAGAAGAAATGGCTGGGGGGAAAGTCCTCTACCCCACTCTGTCATTTAAAACATACAAATAAATTTGTGTTATAGTGTTACAGTGGTACCTCGGGTTACATATGCTTCAGGTTACATGCGCTTCAGGTTACATACGCTTCAGGTTACAGACTCCGCTAACCCAAAAATATCACCTCGGGTTAAGAACTTTGCTTCAGGATGAGAACAGAAATCGTGCAGCGGCGGCACAGCAGCAGCAGGAGGCCCCATTAGCTAAAGTGGTGCTTCAGGTTAAGAACACTTTCAGGTTAAATACGGACCTCCAGAACGCATTAAGTACTTAACCCGAGGTACCACTGTATATATGAAACAAATGATAATGATACAAATGGTGATTAATAAAATGGCAGGAACCACAACAGGTACAGAGTTTAGCTTCAAATGGCTGCTTGTGTGAATTGAACCTGTATCAAGCAATACTGGGTGGGGGGGGGGATGTTGATTATCTAAAATAAAAGTGATTAACTGAACCAGGAAAGGGAGGGATGGGTATGCATTGCCACCAGATGATGAAAGATCAGCAACACACAAAGCAATTTAGCATTGCTGTTCTCTGGGGAATATGACATCTAGTGTACAATGGTGTACAAGAGAGAGAGGGGGGGGAGGGAGGGAGGAAGAGAGGAACCAGTTTAAAGGGGAACCTGGTTGCTAGGTCACAAAGTGCAAGCTTCCTTTGTTCATTAATTGCCATTGTGGAGACTACCATTATTGCCAAATTAGCAACTGCTGAAATGGATTTTGAGCGCTGCCTTGCTTGCAACATAAAGGTGCTTAAAATTATTCAAGGCATAAGCATCAGTGAGAAGTAGAGCAGGGCACATTTGAGGCTTGGAAGGAACAGCAGAAAAGAGGGGCATAATCACTGAAGAAGAAACAGATAAAGTAAAAGCTTTTCTGATCAGCAGAGGAAAAATCCAGGCTGCTTTTCAGCGAGAAAACAGCTTTGATTGCTAGCTTTCGACAGGAAAATCACTGCACAGCTCAAAATATAAGATTCTTTCGCAGGCTTAATCTGAGCTGGGACTGAGCCTCAAGATCTGCTTTCAGTGTTCATGCTCATCCTTGAGAGAGATTTTTTGAGATATATAAGGATAATAAGGAGAGTGTCTCTGAGCATGTGCAATGTCTTTTTCCAGAATGTAACATTATTATTATTTGGACAAAAGTAAACTAGCGTGATTGATAAGACGATGATGAAATACCACTGAAAACACTACTCATGTACACAACGTCCATGGCCGTGTGTGCTTAAGATGACGAGACCTCATGAGAAATAGAGGAAGGAGAAATGAATTATTCTCCTTGCAGGTCCTGCTAGCCAGGGATGATGGGACTTGTAGTCCAGAAACAGCTGGAGACCCCAGTTTGGGAAACTCTGATGTAGAACATTGGCATCAGGGAGAAGACTAAGCTGCAGCACTCCAGTTTTATAATTTTAGGCTTAATGATCTTATCTGTAGAACCCAGTGGGTATTGTTTACATACTTATTCAAACTGGAAAGCCAGCCCCGCTGCATTTGGGGGTCCTCCTGTCCATTGTGCTGACAAGGAGCTCTCAACTTATCCACCAGAGTCCTGCTTGGACCACATCACTGCTAAGCTAGACAAGCTACTTTTCTGCGTGGAAGTTTTTATTTCACCTTATTCTTTGTACGGAGGGGCATTCAGTGACGTGAGCTCCCACCTGCAGCCTTAAGCAGTGCACCCCAGATTATCACCTGATCTGCTCTGCTTTGAAAAACCATGCCTCAGAGTCCACAGGGGCTGGTGGCAAGAAG